TCAACGGGTAACACCCAATTAAGTTTAAGAGATTTCACAATAAATTATATGAATACAACAAATTGCATCTAACTTACTTGCTAAAAGTAAAACTAATTCATTAATAAAGAATAACAGTAAGAAAATAAATTTACTGAATTGAAATAATAATTAAATAAATGAATGAATAAGATATGGAAAATTCAATAATTGAAGATGTTCATATTTATTACCATTTATAATTTATTTCTGAGCGAGCGTAATGCAAACTTAAATTTTGTTTCGTTCAATGAAAATAAGTCCAGATCGAGTGTATTACCACCAATAGCAACTCTAGACAGGGGAGAATGTTTACCGTAGTTGCAACGATGAAAATCTATTGCAAATGTTTCTGTATTCCTTGTACTTCTAGAAAAAACATGTGAGCCAATTTGTGCTAGCAATGTAGGGCAGTTAATAAGATAATTTATTAATTGGAATAAGAGTTTTAATACTTAGCTTCATTATATCTGCAACTCTACGAATATCGTCTAATGAATGGTCCTTCAGGGCATTTTTAACTTGAACGCCAAAAATTTAAGAAATTTGTTTCGTACCCGTTCAATGTTAAGTGCAGGACTTTCATAGGTAGGTGACCAAATGGAACTGCAATAATCTAAGACTGATCTTACCAGGGTAAAATACAGCATTTTTATACATTCAATATTAGAGAAGTCCTTGGAAGTACGACAAATGAATCAAAAGTCCGCTTTTTGATTTATTGTTGACAAATTAATTTGCAGGTAGTGGTTCCACTAGTTAATTACCGAAAAATCAATTAGAATAATCATCATTTAACAAAAAAAGTCCACATCGGACCAAAAAACTTAGGTATATAAACAGCTAATCCTTATTTTTAGATTCACTATCTATTTGCTTCTCCTGAAGATGCTAATAACCTTGTTAGCGAAACGCGCGTCGAGTGCAAAAATATCAGTTTGGTGTTAGGGTAATTGATCTCTAGAAAAAGTTTTCAAAAATCGGTGTGCAAAACCGCTCACTACCTCACATAACCCCACGAACACACGGCGCTGATAAAGAAATATTGTGAAACGGACAAATAATTAGTATTCAGTCAGTCCAGCTAGCCGAGCCTTCATTCCTCAACTACATCTAATAGCACGTTTACTAACTATCTGGGCCACTAGGAGCCACAGGCCAGAAATGTTTATGACTGTACAAGGGACGCTTTGAACATAAAGGCACTGGTAGTATAACATTTCCCATTTGGCGGGTCGTGATTATGAACACCCTTCGCAGTGCTCTTATTTTTATTGCCGTTCCAATTGGGAATGGATAGACTATACCGTTATTTGCCGGGCCGGATTTGGAAGCTGAAATCCTTTCCGGCGACGGACGCTCTTGGCTGTGCCGGCCGAGCTAGTGGGAGGTTGTCCATTCATTTTCATTGTTCCAATCCTATCCGTATTTTGGCGGGAAGGGCCGTGCTGTGCCGGAAAAGTGGGCGACAAGTTTTACGTGGTCGTAGATATATCGTTGGGCGTAATATTTACATATTTACCCAAATCTGATCAATACCGTAGATTGCTAAGTATAGTGGTGTGATGACTGCTCCCTAGGACCTCCCGAATTCTTTTTTTTTATAAAACCATCTGACATAAAACATTTTTTCACTTATTTTGTTCCATCTACGGTGTGGTATAAACGAAACTTTTTGGCAAAGATTTTGCTCTCTCTACTCTGATTTTTTTTCATAAATCAGCTTTGGAAATGTATGTGTTAAAAATCTTCGTGAGTATCGACAATGACCAATGACTGGATGTTTACAAAAAAGTGCAGTTTATTAATTTTTTCGATTATTTTTTTATTTATTGTAACAACTCGAAAAACTATGCATTTGTATTTTCCTGTATCGAATATATTTGTTAATAATTACAAATATTAAAAAAATTTCTAATTTGATAGGTCCCTCCGGTGTTCATTCGTACTTCTCAAAATCATAACTAATGCTTAGTGAGGTGTTTTCATATGAACCACAACCTTCAAAAGTCGTAACTTATGCGAACTAAGGATTAACAAAATTACACCTTTGAACGAACGATTCTTAGCAAATAGATAAATAGATAAGCACTATTCTGATCATTTCCATATTGATTTCAATTTAAGAGCCACCGGTAGACAGCCGTTTAAGCCTGTTGGTCATCGTCAGTACCGGGCAGGCGGTCCTCGATTGAANTGAAATAAAATCATAATTGGAATTGATCAGAATAGTGCTTATCTATTTATCTTTTGATTTTCATGGAATTATTTCCCAGCAGCTTAACTGCATTAACCTGTCTCGAGATTTGTCTTGTACATAAACGCTACATTCGATTCCTTCATAACATTATGGAAAGATGCGTATATTCATTGACAAAAAATAATTCACGTAATTTATTATTTTACAGTTTTTAATAGCCATTCTTGGATGCTCTGTTAAAGCCGGAGTTATTACATCTGGAATTGGACTTGGAAATGTTGGAATTGGTTTAGGAGATATCGGACATGTAGCTGTTGCTGCTCCTGTAGCTCAAGTAACTCATATTGCTGCTCCTGTAGCTCAAGTTACTCACGTAGCTGCTCCTGTAGCCCAAGTAGCTACTCCTGTAGCCGTAGCATCACACAGTGCTGTATCATGGCAGAATAGTAATAGTATCAGCTTGAATCCTACAGCTGTTGTGTCAAAAGTTGCTGCCCCTGTAGCTGTAGCCGCCCCCGTAGTAACTAGAGTAGCTGCTCCAGTTTTAACCAAAGTGGCTTCTTTAGGAGTTGCCAATGTCGGATATGGTAAAGTTTTAAACATTAGAAAAAACAGTTTTTGAATTAAATATTCAAACGAAAGAAACGAATGAGTTATTTTTGACATTTATTGATTTATGTTTTCTCAAAATCGATGAATTTATTGATATAAATCTAATATGAATTGCAATGGTTTCCGTCATGATTTCGCAGAATTATGTTCTTCAATCAGGGTCATCTTCAGTTAATTGGTGTACCATTTTAATTTTGTATGGATGATACCTATTCCTCTTCAAAAGTATCCATGTAGTATTATCCTGAACAGTATAATGTATAATATTATTTATACTCAAACACGTTCCTTAACTACTTTATTAAATTGAGTACAGCTACAGAGAAAACAACTAACACGTTCTGTCATCATCTTCTTGTGCCTGTCGATAATGCAGGAACCCTTTTTATGTCTCTGAGCTAGTTGTCACAAACAGCAGTGACTACTAGTACGACTTGACCACTACTTACTACAATCCACACAGTAGAAAGAGACACCTCACAAACATTCGCGACGGAATAAGTAGACAAATTATTTGCACTTGCTGACCATTTTAGAAATTGTTGACGTGGTACCTTTCTACTAGTAAAACCGAAAACTAAATGAGAATATTCTAACTGAACAATGATGTTCATTATTGTACTGACATTTTTGTCGTTTTTATGAACAAAAAATAACTTAACAAACCTTATCGGGTTGTTGGAATTGCCACATGGCAGTTAAAAAGGAATATTTCCAGAAATATGGATAATAATGTGTTTGTCTTCAGGAAGTTAATAAATGTTCCGCCATTTTGTAGTAGGTGAAATTATTGACTTCATATTCTAGGGTTGTCAAGTATTTGTCAGGAGCTTCAAAATGATGTGTCTGTCACAAGACCCCCCTTTCCATTTAATTTTTTCCCAGATGACGCCCAGTCGCCATCTTGAAAGTTTCATCTGTCAATTTCACTTAAAAATAAAGTATTCGTTTTAGTTGACCTGTTCAAAAAAATAAAAGGGGGGAACAATAAAGAAATGCACTGTATAATCTGCATATAGTGCATATGTTATACTTTCGCAAAAAGTATAATAAAAACCAGTAGATTTTAAATACTTGCAGAATGTATATTTTCATCTGATGTTTTTCGAATTTTAGCTTTCTGTATACTTTTTCAACTATTCTTTCGGTTGATGATATTTTTACACATAACTTCATTCACACAAAACTCAATCAATTATTTTCAAGGTGGCTTCGGACTAGAAAATGGACTAGGCTGGAACAGAAACAGTTTGGGTTGGAATGGAAATGGTTGGAACGAAAATGTCGCTGCTTGGGGAAAGTAAAAATTTCATTGAAATAAGTGCGAGCCTTAATTTAGTATGATCCTTTGAACCATTTATATTTTCACAATCATTTTTCTCTATTTATTTAATCATGTCATCGATGAATGAAATAAAACTAAAAAATTCAAGTTGACTTTTAATAAATATTTTGAAAATAGTAATTTGGCGTGACAATAATTTTCAGAAAAAAAAATACGATAAATTGCCAGCTTGAGCTAGTTAACATTCAAACGTAGATAAAACCGTTTAGTTTAGTAAAACTGAACATGAAGGCATTGGCTATATGATTATTCAGCGGTCAATAAATAGAAAACAATACTTCTCTATGACTCATATTGAGATTATTTCAAAACTAAATTCATTTATGGAGGATGAATACGAATGAGAGTTGAATCATTGAATTTGATAACTAGAAGCAACCAGAAAAAACCTTCAAAATTATTCTCTGTTTCTGTTATTTCGATAAATTTCAAATAGTTCAAAAATAGTGTGATTGAAAAAACAAAAAACCGTATGTTTTGAACGGACGATCATCAGTTCAACTACTCTCTATGAAGCTTTTCACAAATTAGTGTGATATACTTACGGCTAGTTTGGAACTACACTCATTTCATTATTAAGGGACGAATCTTCAGAAAATATAAATGTCCTCGCCACATCACAAATTTCTGGTGATTCAGACTTGCTTCCACTTTCCGAGTTCATATTTTTCGTTAGAAACTATGTATTTTGAAACAAACTGTCAGTTAGTTCAATGATTGAGTTGAACGCTTGGGAATGATGTTGAAGTAAGTATTTTACGCGAATGAAAAGACTTCAAATTCAACTGAAAAGTGATGATATTGAATCACGGTGGAAACAACCATGAACAAAACATGGGTAATTTTTCATTAGTTCAAAAAACGAAATAGCATCCATTACAAAAATATCACAAACTCTGGCATCAATAACCACTCAAACAATTGGAAAAGCCCTTTTGGCCTTTAAGAACTTCGCTGCTCCGGTCCGGATGGGCTAAATGCTTACTGGTGAACGAAACTACCAATGGGGAATGTTCCTCAATTTGGGTTATTACAGCAAATGCAAGTTTGAACAAAATAAAGCTGAGTTAAATTGATGAGTTATTCAAATTCACTTCGAAAAGTATTCAAATTGATGTTTCAAATGTTGGGTTTTAATTTTTAAAGGGATTTATTTCTAATTCGCATATTGGCAACAGCGCCTATATCAAGTTGAAATAATTTATACGTACCTAGATATTCTACTTTGAAAAAGTAAAAGTATCTTTATAAATCAACAATCAAGACAAAATATAAATTATAGTTCAATACCACCTCCACAAGCCACATAAACAACAGTTGTTTTGTTATTTATTTAGGTTAGGTGCACAAAATGTCATGTCTCGCAACTCGGAACATAAGTAAACAGAACAGCACGCCTCTGAAATATGTCATCTTTGTTTGTCTCATACACGTAACAGATTCATTGTCTTTTATTAGCTATAAACGATGTTGCCAAATGGTGAAATAGAAACGAATCCCTTTAAATGTTGAATGCATTATTTCATTCCTCTTTTTTAAGTATTCAAATAATTTTTTAAAGAAAAAGGTTGAAAAGATAAGTTTAAAATGCGTTGTTTTAGAGCTCTTTTATGAAAACTACTTGATTTTCGTCAGGAGGAACATTTCCCATTATCCACTACCACCTGGCTAGAACTCACAATTCTTGGCCAGTAGATTCCTGTTTAATTTATCCAGGAGCGGGCCGTTCTAATCAAAAATGAAGATTAGTCTGTTTCAAAGAATTGCAGACCTACAACATGTTTGAATTCGTGCCTATAAGTTGTTTACCTACATATCTGTATGTCTGTATCTGTAGAGAATCACCAAGATAATTACTTGGTGATCGAAACACCCGTCAAAGTGTTGTATGTATTTATATAGTAATGAGGGTGAGTGTAGGCTACATGTGACCCACTGTACATCCTCCCGAGGAGTTGTCCTCCTAGGTCATCGTCCATCCTGTCCTTTCCAGGAAGGTGGACAGGTCTCTAGGAGACATCTCCTTTATATCGGCAGGTGTAGGCCAAGACTCGCCGAACACACACTCTTTTATTGACGATAACTCCGGACTTTCGCATAGGACATGCCTGACAGTTTCATCTTCCTGTTCACACATCCTGCATAGAGGTGTGTCCACTAGCCCCATATTGTGGAGATATTTCCTTAGCTGACAGTGACCAGTCAGAAATTCTACTGTTAAGCGTAGAGTTTTCCTAGTCATCGCCAGATATTTTTTCGGCGCCAGCTTCCAGGGTCCCATCTCTTCAGGGATTGAGCATAAGTGTCGCAGTTGTCTAAGTCATCAGGCTGTAGGTGCCACTGGGTCCTAAAATTCTTAGTCCAGCCGCTTCCTTGGCTAAAGAGTCGGCATCGGCAATGCGATTACCTTTACTCCTGTGGTGCTCTTTAATCCACCGGCATATAATATGATAACCGCAAGTTTTTTTATACAAAGCATGAGTTACTCGTGCATTTACTCAGAAGTCTTACGTTACCTGAACAAGTATTCAGTTGCCTTGAACAACTGATACAACATAGAGGGTCACGTTCAGAAAGGGTTCAGGGGATTCCCTCAGACCCCTTCTTTTCCTAATATTATCTTTATCATTATCGGTTGCTTTCAGGAATACTCGTGTATCTAACCGCAAGACATCAGGAAACCAGAGGCAAAAGATCAGACATTTGATTAATTGGAAAGACTTGAAACTTTATGCTTCTGGAGAAAAGTATCTCCATTAATCTTTAAGGGTGGCTAAAAAGTTAAAATCAGTTTTTCCGTTAACCAGCTGTCGCTTCCCTACAAACGACCACTCTTAAAAGTCGAAACTTGTGCGAGCTACGGATTAACGAGGTCTTTCCTTTTAACGTGTGATTTCTAACACGGGTTGGACGATAGGAAGCGAAAATCGATCGTCCGGCCTTGCGGTTCGAACCACCAGGCTACCGTGATGGAAGAGTATTTTTTGGTATGATATTCATAATAGACAAATGTGCAGAGACTATCATCTGTAGGCTCTATCGAGACTACTCTGTTGAGATGGTTATTCCGATTATTGGAGATATGATTATGCCCCACACTCTCGAAATCTCGGTATCATGCCAGCTTATCGCACAAAGGCGGATATCTTGGCTGAACAAATGCACAAGGCTGTCCTTCTTAGCTCATTAGTTACAATAGTGTTTTCGTTAGGAAATGTCCTTGTAGGACGAAATTGCAGTAACGTTAGTTACAAATACAAGTGGTATTAAAACATAGGAAGTTTCAATTCTCATTTTTCGCAATTTGAATCCAATATTAATTATTCACTATTTTTACTCATTCGTTTCAATATNCTTAGGTAAAAAATTGATAAACATAGTTTTCTTTATATTGCAGACAAGGTCATTGTCGCTACAGTATTTACTGAATTCATCACATGCATAATTACCCAAGTTTACCAGACTTCCCAAGGTTTTATGGGCTAAGAGTATATTTGTGTCATCAGCATAAAGTATCATTCTATTTGGTGTGGTACAGGTATCGTAGATGTCATTTGAAAATATTATAAAAAGAGTTGGTCCCAATATAGACCCCTGGGGCACTCCTAACTCAGCACTCTTACAGTCAGATTTGCTATTATTTATTACTGTCATTTGAGAACGATTTGTCAAATATGATACTATCCAATCATGTGGTATACCACATACACGGGAACAATATTCCAAAGATCTGATCTGAGCTTCATAAAGCATCAAAAGTTGAATATATTATATTGTAATGACTAGGATTTCCTACTGAAAGAATAAAAATTTATATATCTATATTTTGGAAGAACATTCAATAAATATTTTGTTTGTATGTATGTAGAATTTATTTTTTTTGTGTAGCAGATCTAGCGAAGACAACAACTAAGGGCTTATCCTTCAGAATATATCCATTGGTCTCTTTAACAGCTTTCTGAGCCAGTTCTACACTATCCAAAGTGACAAAAGCTTGGCCCTTCATCCTGCCTTCTTGCATAAGCCTGATATCAAATTGACTTGTAGTATTTCCATCATGAATTCTGTACCTGTTATAAATAAACTCAAGATCTCCCACCACCACCGATTTTGCACAATTTTTTATGTACAGTCGGCATGTTGGTGCCCCTGGATGGTAGTTTTTGAAAACAGGTAAAACTCCAAGATCTTTATGAGAAATTTGGTTGGCAGCCAATTCTTCCGCTGTTATCGCAGTAATCTCGTTTTCTATTTGTTTTGTAGAAGTTGGTGACGATTCTGTTTTTTCAGAGGTTGGAGGTTTTACCAGAGGCAACAATATTCCAAAAGAACCAGTTTTCTCAGGTTCTTGTACAGGCCTTTGTTCTAATGAGTCTGGGGCAACTTTAACTTCTATTTTCTTAGGAACTTGTACATTCACCTGGAAAAAATGCAAGATAGTAATATAGATTGGAGAATACGACAATCAAAATCAGAGAATTCTACATCAAGAACAGTTTAGGGCGCTTAGTATATGTTTTGGCAGCGCGTTTTGTTATCGTAGATTCTTCACCTGGAAAAGTGTACATGAGAGAGAGAGAGAGAGAGAGAAAGCACTCAACTGCCTCATTATTCTATAATATATGGATCTTCAGGCATAATTTGCGAATATTACTAGAAAATATTGAAATGGAGCATTTTGAAAACAAAAATTTGACCAATTCTCATCAATTTGTTGTGAAGGGTCTTAGATCGTAATCATTAGAAAATAAACATTGAAATGGGGCATTTTGAAACAGAAATCGTTTAGCGCTCATCATTTGTTGTCACAAAGGACCTAGATCGTAGACATGTGGTAATTTTAAAGATACTTAATTTGATTGAATAATAGGAAGGAAAGTTTCATTTTTTTCTATACAACTTTTAGAATTTCAAGCCAGCTGTACATAGAATTGATAAATTAATTTGAACGCTTCTAAAGGTCCTGATGCCTTGGTAAAAAGTTATAGTTCTTTTATATTTATTTCACTTTGAAAATCACTCAGGTGGCTGACTCCCAGCCAAATTACCTTAAAACAATTTTACCTGGTTCAAACCTTGATAAGACACCTGTATAATTTATACTATTAGAATTCAAATTAGTACATACCTTTTCAAATACATTTTCAGTTTTTTCAGCGGGTTTGGCAGCGGCATTTGAAAGTTGTGCCACAGGAGGCTTAATAAACTTAGGTCTCTTAACAACTTTTTTCTGTGAAGTTTTTCTTTTTAATGGAGTAAATTCTCTATTCCTGAAGTAATCTCCATCATCACTTTCTAACTCGGATTCTGAACTGCTCTCAGGTTTTTTATCTTCTTCGGGTAAACTAGATGATTTCAGAGACTGTTTCATTACAGGATGCTGTGATGGTGTTATAGTCCTAACAGGTGGTTGTTCAACAGCAAAAGGGGGTGGCAGATTCATTCGGTTCATTAAATGTAGGACTTGAGTGTAAAATCTAGGTACGGTAGCTAGAGCATGAGCAATATTATTGATTGTTGCTCTATTTGGTTTTGGGTACAAGTATTTGAGATGAGAGGGAGGTGGCTGGTGAAATCCAACAGATTCATTGAAAGATGTTAATTTGTTGATGAATGTTTTGAATGATTTCTTATTACTTATATCACTTTCATCGATCTTTTTACACTTAGGCTTACCCTGTAATATATCATTTTCAGCATACTCTATGCACAATCGACAATTGAGTACATTTATTTGATGAAGTCTAAAGAGAACATTTTTTGCCAATTCCTCAGAGTCAAACTTGGCATACACTACTGACTTTTCCTTAACTCTTGAAGTTATAACTTTTATACTGCTTGCTCCAAAATGACGGGCAAAATCTTCTTTCTGGGCGTCAGATAATTCCTTGGGTAAATTTTTTATTTTCAAGGTATCTTTGCAAACCATGATTTCTTGACTAGTCTCCAGTTAATCTGTTATTGACCACCAGAAATAAAGATTTGTAAAATTTTTATGTTTGTTATTACATACTATTCTGTTATGAAAAATTTTAAATCAAATATGAAGATACCTCTACTAAATTTATAGTAGGAAGAAGAGCAAAATGCACAATGTTATGAAAATAAAATTCCAAAACAAATCAGGACAGGATAGCCACTTTATTTTTATTTTTGAAATATCAGAGTCAGGGTTGCCACTCAATATTTTATTTTTGTAATTTGTATTTAGATATCTGAGTAATAAATTGACCATATTCGCGTAAAATGATTGTACATGTTTTAGGCGTTTCATGATCGGCATTCGTGATATTAAGAAGATTGTAACTCCAATTCAAAACTTTTAATTTCATCGCTTTCATTGAAATGATTCGGTAATTCAGGTATATAAGATATATATCTAATGCATACGATGTTGATTTTGTTCACCAATGACAATGAATACTTCAACTGAAAACGCATTGGTAGTTGGTATTGTTGCATACTGTATTATAAGTAACGATATAAAGAAGAGTGGCAATTTCACAGATTTTCATCATCATGGTATGAACAATATCAATCAACTTCACCTACAATAGATTTATATGTCATTTGACCAAAATACTCTCTTACTCAATTAGAGGCGATAAATGGACTAATTGCCAGAACTAATCAGTTCTGGCAATCATAAACCATCTGAAAGAGATCGACAACTATTTTTATGTGAATATGATTGATGGACCACATTTCACTTAAATCGGACTAGACATTTCAAGTTATGATGTTGGCTACACTTGCTGTCGAATTTATTGTGAACTGTCAATTGATACAAATATGCATCCATATTGACTTATTCCAACGATCAACCAAGTTTTAATATTTACATAAACCCAGTGTATATTTAAACGATTAACCAAAAATCGAAAGTTTGAAAATGGCGCTAGAATTGAATCAGGATATGTTCCAAAAATAACCTTCTTTCATGACTGTTTAAAATCTGTTTTTCCGTTAATCAGCTATCGCCCCCATACGAACGACAACTCTTAGAAGTTGAGAAACTTGTGCGAGCTAAGAACTAACGAGGTCTTACCTTTCAACGTGTGATTCCTAGATTTTTGAGAGCAGTTATCTGAAGAATATATTTTTAGGCAACCATCCGGGAAATACCCACTAGGGCTTACATTTATAATTTATTGCTTATTTTCCATAACAATTCAGTATCATTGGACAATTAATTCAGCTAATCAGATGAATTGGCAATTGAACATGATAACATTTCGCCACCCTCCCTATATAGTAACCCTGGATTGGACATAAAAATATTGTTATGCGTTATCCCCTGAAAAAAAATAACGCCGGGCGCTGCTGGTCTTTGTCAATCAATTGTGATTTGGTCAAAGTCGCGCCCCACTCGACTTGCGTTTCCCAATCGTTCCAGGTGGCGCGTCGTTTCTAGAGACTACCAAATAACTTTCTATCGGTTTCCAGAGATTTCCATTACAATACATAAACACTACCAACAGGCAGATCGGGGAAGTCCAGTTCCAAGTACAGTACGTACGTACTGTACTTACTGTACTGTACTGTACTGTACTTACTGTACGTACATTTGAATAGTATTCTGAAGTTTCAGTTGAAGTGTTTGTGTTATTGTCAGTGTAGCAGTAAAATAAAGTTGAGTTTAATTGTACAGCGTAGTCAATTATTGTGGAAGTGGAATAATGGACTAAAAAGTTCCTGTTTTATGATGGAAACAAGGAGTGTCGATTGCGATGGGACGGGAGAGCTTAAAAATATTCTAGGCTTTGCAAACAAACATGGCGGAAAATGAAAATCGCAGAATATGAATTCAGAAGATAGAAAGATGATCGCAGAAGAGAGGAAAATGAAAGAAAGAGGAAGAAAGAACGATTACGCTAAAATGAAGACCGTGAATTACTACTGAATATTTAGGAAAAACAAGAGACAAAGAAGACAATCGTAAATTATTGGTAGATATTCAGAAAAAACAGGAAAAAGACAGATACTTGCTGGTGAATATTTAGAAAAAAAACAAGAAAGAAACAATCAAATGTACCTTCATCCATTTGAAGAATTAAAATGTTCTTAGAAAAAATTTGAAAAGTATTTCAGGAAACAAAAAGGGAATTTGAAGGAAAAGCTTGAAGGAGTCGACAAAAAATTTGCAGAGGTGGAATATTGGAAATCGAAAACATCTCTCCCTTCTAGTAGTAGTTTTATTAAAACTTCAACCTTCGATGGCGAATCTTCATGGTTGATTTATCGCAGGCAATTTTTGAGGCCGCTGCAGAAAATAATAGGTAACAAAATAATGAGAAAGCAAGAGCTCTCATACTGGCACTACGAGGAAAGGTATGGCAGTCAGGTATGGTAGTGAGCACCTTCAACAAGTCCACCAAGCTCAACTGAAAGTGAGAACTCGAAGTCCATATGAGAGTCTGTAGGAGTTTGGCCGAAAGGTTGGTAAGACTCGCCTATACAGAAACACCCGATAACTTCACTCGATGGATTGGTATCCATAGTTTATCGACGGAGTTAGGGACAGGGAGCTGCAGCAGTCTCTGAGGTAGGCAGTTTATAAAAAATTTAAAGAAGCCTTCAGTCATGCCATACAATTCGAAGCTACCAAAAATGCTTCGCGCCAACAACGAAAAGTTCTACTGAGGGCCATCAACGGAAAGGAAGATGAAGGAACGAATTGATTCATTGGAGGTCTAGAGAAACTTCCTAAGGAATATTTGATGTAACTGCACCAAAGGCAAGAGGACGGCCTAAATGTTATAACTGCGACAAAGAAGGATATTTGAGGCAGGACTGTCGATCTCTTTCAACATTCAACGAAGAGACTGGCAAGAAGAGACTGGCGTTCGGGATCACTAGAACTAGAGCGTCGGGGTTCAGGAAAAATATATTCAACTAGTGTTAGGTAAGTATATTGGCTGCTGCATCCCAATCCCCCAAGTATTCGATTTCCTCGATAGGACGCAACAGTAACAGCTTTGTTATCGACGTATTTCTAATTAATCAATAGTATCTTTCCACCATTGATACTGGAGCAACGGGGTCAGTAATGAGAGCCGAAATTTCTAACAGAATCAGTTTTTAGAAGGGTATCCGTATTACCCGTTCTGGAAACAGCCATTGGAGATGGACTGGCGGTCTATGGGGAAGCTGAAGTTAGAATCAAGCTTAGAAATTGCGAAATAGAAACTAAGGTATTTAGTGGCCAACATCGTCGAAGAATTTATTTTGGGACTAAGCATCACGTCCCTTCACGGATTCGTGGTGGACATAAGGAACAAACTATTGAAATTGGGAAATAAGGTAATTCTATTCGATATGCTCTCTCAGCCTTATGTCAGCGCCAAGGTGGTTACACTGGAAAATTCGGGAATCTCTCTCAAAACCAAGAAAACCATTCCAACGGAGATTGCCGGACCTGGCGGCTTGGGCTTGCATTGATAGAGCCAAAGGAGTGATACCGGAATGGCAAGAGATTCACAAGCACGGCCAGCAGAGAAAGGATTATTGGCCCCGATGTGCATTCAAGATGACTTACTCACTCGGAAATGGGAGAGCCCGAATGAAAGAATCCACAAACTCCAGATAATCATTTCAAAGACATGTATCTCGAATATATTCAGACAGCTCCTTGATGGTCGCACTGAAGGGCATTTCGGAGAAACTAGAACTTTAGCGAGAGTGCGTGAGAGGTACTATTTGGTCATTTGCCGCCGAGACGTGGAGAGTGGTGTAAGCGCTGTAGCGCTGTGACCTGGGCTCCTCAAGGAAGGAGTATCTTAGTGGGTGCCATTTCGAGAGATTAGCAGTTAACAATCGGGGGCCACTTCATATGATCGTATTCGGTATCAAATACCTCATGGTTGTGATGGCCTGACGAGCCCAACCAAGAGGCTGAAACAGTGGCAGGAGCTCTGTTGTCGAACGTAATTACTAGACACGGTGTACCCTAGGAATTACACTCGGATCAGGCCCGCAACTTCGAATGGGATTCATGGAAGGAAGTTATGACTTCATTGGGAATAAAGAAGACAAGAACAAGCTCTTTTCACCCACAGTCCAATGGAATGGTTGAGAGGCATAATCGCACCTCTCGATGTTTGTATCCGAAAACCAAATAGACTGGGATAAGTTGGTTCCTCTCTTTCTGTTGGCGTACATGAGCTCCCATCATTTCGCGATAGGTTACACACATCCATGTTGTTAACTGGTCTAGAACTGAAGCTTTCGATAGATGTAATGTGTTGCAGCCCATCCGATAAATCTCAAGTGGTATCCCTTTCAGAGTATGTGAATGACCTGAAGAAGAGACTGGAAACCAAAAAGATAAACGATCTGGTGTAGAGAAGCAAGTCTAAAGTTGTCTGGTCTTCGTCAATCGATTGTTACTTGGCCCAGGTCACGCTAAAATCGACTTGCATTTGTTGATCGTTCTAGGTGTCACGTCGTCACTTCGAGATACTTCCAGAGTCTTCCCTACCGGCTTCCAGAGACTACCATTACGATATGTAGTTATATCGGGGAAGTCTAGTTGAAAGTGCGGTACGAAGTGATCTAATAAGGCGATCGACATTTGAATATCAGTCTGAAGTTTCAATTAAAGTGTTTGTGTTGTATTGTCAGTGTAATCGTGAAATAAAGTTGAGTTTGATTGTACAGCGTAGTCAATTATTGTCAAACCCACGGGATAAATGTAACAATATGAATGGACTTTTCCTCCATAATGGTGTTGACAACACTGAATGTAAATAGTAACATGGGAGACGGCTGTTTTCTGTAGACGTTAGTGCAAATGGAAAGATCTGTCTAAATTTGGAGCATACAGAAAATGAATAATCAATTATCGAAGTTAAAAATAATAATTTTGTTTAAATGATATGTTTCCTAAGTTCAGTGATCAGAAGTAAAATGTTAAAGGTGTTGTGTCAGTGTCACAGTGGTCAGAATAAAGATTATTGGATGATCTATTTTTGTGACCTTCATAGTGACCCCTTTAATCAAGAGGAAAAGTGATAAATTGGTACTATTCTGGTGTGTGTCACGGATTTTAAGTATGTCTTATTGTATTTAAACATTTCTTTCAGAAAGTGACTGTTATATGTGTCTTGAGTTTGGAAACAATTTTGTAGTTGAATATTAAAGTGGGGCCTTCACAAAAGAACTTCAAAAACAGCCAAGTAAACTAAAGCTCAACCCTTTTAGCGCAGACTACTTTTTTCATTGCCTGTGTGGCTGATATCATATACATTTTAATAAATTTACTGTTCAGGTGTATCTTACAGCTCTTGCTAAATCAAAAATGGGATCAACAATGTACATATTGATATTGTGAATATACATCTCGACTTGACTTGATGTTAGCCCTAAAAAATTAAGTATTCAAACCTTGTGCTAAGCAAAACCACTTTGAATTTTCACATATATTTTTAGCTCATAGTTTTAAGATAATTTTGTGCTCTATTGTCGATTTTTTTTATTCAATGATATGAGAGAGTTAATGTTTAGCTAGCAGAATCCAATTAAAAGAAAATATTTTGAACCAAAATCCATGAGAAGAAAACAACTAGAAAAAAATCTTTTATTTAAAAGTGGTTGACAATGTTTCATGATGACTTTTACTAGTTCGGACTTCCATTGTCTATGATATAATATGATTTAAAGTCTCTGAAAGAACAAATGAAAAGTCAAAAATCAAAATGAATAGCTCAAAATTATATTGAACAATTAAGAATTAAATAAAAGTTGAAAAGATTTCAAACCAAGTTACTTCACTACGATTCCATTATTAATATCCACAATCATCTTCGAGTGTTATCTTTAGCTATTGATTTAAATTTCTTTTTTCAGAGATTTCAAATCATATTTGATCATATTGGACAATGGGAAGTCGTGACTAGTTGAAAAAAGGGTAAAATCTGAGATTGAAACTAGTGGAACTGAAGAGACTTGAAATAATTTGATATGAAATCACATTTATTCAAGTACTCAAAAGCCAACAAATATCACTTGATTAGAAAGAATAAAATCTAGGCTGATAGGCTGTGGCCAAGCTTTTCGTCTGATACTGCGGCAGACATCTTCAGTGGTTGACTACAAGTCGAAGTTAGTATTTATTGAAGCACAAACTTTGATTATAATTAAAATAACACCTGGGAAATATACAGCAGAAAATGGTTACGAAGAATGAAATAAATACCCAAACCCTTTCAAAATGGCTTTTCATTGGCTAGTGTAGGTGAAGATAAATTATGATTCCCTGAGAGCATATCTTGGGGTGAATTCTACAACTAGGTAACTACAAATCAGCTGTTTCAGAGAAAACTCAAATTGATGTTTTTTCACGATTTTGGTAGAATGTTGAGGCTCAATTAAATGTCATTTTACTACCACTTACCTAGTTTTACTACTAAGAATATTTTGTTTTTTTTAATTTTGTAAATATAAGTCAGGCTCGAAAATTAATTGTTTATTTGCAATCTATTATTGTATCAACAATAATGCACTGCAAAAATTGTCTCATTTTACAAAAACAAATTGATAAAAACAGCAAACAAATCAATATGTTGAACAACTAGTTTTTTATGTATTATGTTTAGATAAAGTACATTATTTATGTTATATTAGGCTTGCCTATCTGGAAATAAAGTTCTTCTTCTAGTTATGTGAACTTGCCTAGTTGTAGAATGGATTTTTTCTCTGATGATTACCTTATCTAGTTTTGAAAATTCTAAGTAGTACCTGTAAACTGTATGCAACAGTTACCTACTTTTAGTACGTTGTGCACCTAACCTAATAGAATTTTTCCTTGCAGATATCCATATTTTGCCAAATTTGTAGTTATAGTAGGTTTCACAATATATGTTATTGGCAGAATGATTATAATAAAAGTAACTAGATCCTTGAGTTGTAAAACAACCTCATTTTGATTATTGTACAACATTACTTTTTCTACTTCATAAAAATAAAATAGCGCAATTGCAAAAGCTTCAAAATCGGGGCATGCGATTAATATTGGGATGTAGCCATTACTCAGAAATTGAATCGATGTTACAGTGTCTAAACTGGTTTTCACTTGAAGAACGTATATTATATATGACTATGATCTTTATATTTAAGCTGCATAAAGGATTGCTACCCAATTACTTTCAAAAATTCTTATTGAGAAATAATGAAGTTCATTTATGTTATATTAGGCTTGCCTATCTGGAAATAAAGTTCTTCTTCTTCTAGTTATGTGAACTTGCCTAGTTGTAGAATGGATTTTTTCTCTGATGATTACCTTATCTAGTTTTGAAAATTCTAAGTAGCACCTGTAAACTGTATGCAACAGTTACCTACTTTTAGTATGTTGTGCACCTAACCTAATAGAATTTTTCCTTGCAGTTATCCATATTTTGCCAAATTTGTAGTTATAGTAGGTTTCACAATATATGTTATTGGCAAAATGGTTATAATAAAAGTAATTAGATCCTTGAGTTGTAAAACACCAATCACTACACTACCCTACACAATGAGATTAAATCAGGTAGTTTATTGCAGTTGATAAGCCAATATCATTTAGAGTGAAACATAGTATACCTAGTTGTAGTAGTCACCCCACATTTTTATTATTCAGCAGATAAGGTACTAAGTGAGAAAAAGATGTCAGGAAAATGAAGAACAATGGATAGGAATAGAAAATTTATGGTTTATGTTCCTCAATGATCTGTTGTGAATATTGTCCCTTCCAACTATTTTTGAGGAAAGGTACTTGGGTAGTTCAGCCTTTTATTATTGGGTGAAGATGTAAAGAAAGAAAAACCTATATTTGCTGATATTTATTTGAACTACACTAGAGCTAAATCATCTTCAGTAGAGTTTTGTATTTCTTGTTGTTGATTGGTTACAAGAACTTTCTATAAGCTATCAATTCAACTTGGGAATATACATTCTTTGTAGTCTAACCAGGACACTATAATAATTTTATACATAATACCTCTTTTATAAGGTTCTCATTTGGTAATTGCTGAATGAAAGCCAACGATAACATTTTGACTCAGGTGAGGTGCATACCCAGTCCCGTTGATAATCAACTTTCTAAAAATATGTTGAAAATATAGCAATGTTTGCTGGATTCAAAAGCTTATTATCCAATAGAGTATAGTATACTTTAATGATTGTAAATAATTTGCTATCCTAGTTCGGACAAAATTTGATTGAACTTTATAGGGAGAATTGGGTGGAGTCCAATGTTTCTTTAATGATTGCCTTAGCTCTATACGTGCTCAGCGAACTGCAATCATTAACATAATTTGACCTTTACTTTTGTGCAAATGAAGTAAAAATATACTCCTTTCAATTCAAAGTGAAAGGGTGACAATCTCAGTGTCCGAAATTTGCAATTTTTACTTTACTTATTTATGAATGTTTCGAATTTGAGTACAACTTCAGCCTGGCATATACCAGCAGTAACATAAATGAATCGTATCATATTTTAAATATAACTATTTTATAGTTTTTGGCTTCAGAGTGAATCTACTTGCGAATGAAATATAACATATAGAGTCCACAATGAACAGTACTCTTTGTAAAATATTCATTAATAATATTATCAAAGCCTAAATATACATTTTCCCAAGATAATGATACTGTTTTGATAGTTGTTGGAGATTCATGGAAAGAAACATGTCTCAAGATCAAAGAAACTATTTTGTAGTTGAATCCATGAATTTTTTCAAAGAAGTACCTTTTTCATTAGGTTTGCGATACTTCGAAATATAAATTTGATTTCATGAAGACACGTTCTTTATCACAATGACTGTTATTTACTAGAATTCATTTTAATCGACCAATAAAAACTTTTTCCAAAGATATGCTGCTGTTTATGANTGCAGGGGTGGAATTCAAGTAAGACTATACCGGATTGTTTTCTGAAACTTCACAGGAATTTATATTTTTCATGATTTAGAACTGAGGTATTTTTTTTTCTAGGGTGTTTGGACCTATCTTCAGCTATGCATGCTGCCCTGTCGGTTATCCCCAGCCACACCAGCAGTCAATGGATAATTTTATAGTAATACCAAAATGTGACACAAGACTGATTCAACTGTCAAATCTCTTATCAATGGGTGCCAGTATGGGCAAAAATGCCTCACTATTAGATGCTCTACCGTCTGGACAGGGTACACTACATGTTGTTATGTTGGGATTAGACTCGGCTGGAAAAACAACAGCTTTGTATAGATTGAAGTTCGATCAATATTTGAATACTGTTCCAACGATAGGATTTAATTGTGAAAAAGTTAAAGGAATGGTAGGAAAGGCCAAAGGTTAGTTCTTCATAATCCAAATTATCTAAACTAGGTTACCTTGTTTGTCATGAATAAACTTAAAAACTACTTAACAAGTGAACCTGATAAAGCCTTTCAATAGACCACAATGTAAGAGAGAGAATACAGTTTCATTGTTACAATAAGGTAATATTTGAAAATGATAGTTGGTCAGAACAGAATCAGATTCAACATATTTCTGTCAGATTAGTATTGTTTCTATAATTGCATTCAGCAATCTCATATTCATTTTTACAACACTACAAACAGGATCCATATTCAAAAATTTCAAAAGCTATTTGATTAGAAACAAAATCGTTTTTTCTTTGGTATGCTGAATAATCAATCCTTTGTGGAAAAAACGGCATCATCAGAAGATTTGAATTTTGCAGTTGCTCCGAAAACAGTGGGAACTTTAGATCTGATTAGTTTCAGAACCCACAGTTCAGAATTCACCTGCAGAAATTGCTGGTGACATAAGATCTGATTTCTCAACCATATCAAGCTGAAAGTAACCTCAGTAAATATTACTGGAGTTTTATCCCAACTTCAAACCGTAATTTTAACACTTCGACACGTGTTTCGATCACCAAGTGATCATCTTCAAGAGGAAGATTAAACTTGAAAATGATCTGTTGGAGATCAAAACACGTGTTGAGGTGTTAAAATAATGATTTGGTGTTGGGAAAAAACTCCAGTATTATTCATTATTACACCAAAGGTTCCAAACACTGCACCACAAGTAACCTTAGTACATTTGAAAGTATTGTACTTAAATCTCCAAGATTCGACGGCAATATTAAAAACCTTCCTGCAGATAAGGGTAATAACGGGTGATTTTTTAAGAGGTATAGCATTTAATTTTCAAAACAACACAAAAATTTTTAAAAAATTGATAAATCTTCATTGGAGTCGATAGAACGATCAATATAGTTTAATGTTTGAAGATGATTTCTTGCAAATGTTGTCCGCGGCTTCGCTTTAGATGGCCCATGCGCAAGGTCCAATTTTGGCACACTCTCTCTAACATATCGACCGGTATTAAATGCTTCAATATTGGCTCCCAGAGCGTCAGTCGTTGCTGGTTTATCCCTGTAGACATGAGCCTCAACATGACTCCACAAGAAATGATCCAAAAGCGTTAAATCACACGATCTAGGCGGCCAATTGACGGGCCCCAAACGTGAGATAAACTGTTCATCGAAGGCGGCTCTTAATTGGGCCACTGTTTCGCGTGCCACATGTCAGGCATGTCCAATTCTTTCATTTTGGGCAACAAAAAGTCGTCAATCATCACACGGTAGCTCTCGCTATTCACAGTAACGTTCCGGCCATTGTCGTCTTTGAAGAAGTATGAAATATTTTAAAGAATTCGGATAACATCTCTAGGAATTTTTAGTCAAAACATTTTGAGTAGACAGGACAATCAATCTACCAAGAACTAATTCGCTTCATAAAACAGTCCTGATTTTTTTTTTCAATTCAGAAAAGTATATGATTTGGTGATTCGTCTTCAGAATAAATCGTCTTTTGGCATTTTGTTATTAATTGAGCCGTACCTCTCATATTATCTGTTTAAAATCTAAAGAAATGAACTTTAAACGTTCAAGTCAGTCTCGAATATACCTACACAGTAGGTTAAATGGACTGACACCTATCAGAAAACAACTACTCCCCTGGCTAATACCACGAAGGGCATTGGATTATATCCGACAGGCGTCAGTGCAGGAATCATCACAGAAAATTTCCTGCATATGCAATTAGCAATACAACTGAAAGAGTTGACCTTCAATTTTGAAACAAGCACACTTGCAGACCGGTTTCGGGCTCATCATCACAGACTGCACTGACGCCTGTCGGATATAATTCAACGCCCTTCGTGCTATTAGCCAGGAAAGTAGTTTGTTTTCTTATAGGCGTCAGTCCATTTAACCTACTGTGTAGGTATATTCGAGACTGGCTTGAACGTTTAAAGTTCATTTCTTTAGATTTGTTTACTGCCAGTCTTCAAGTTTGAAGTTCGATCAATATTTGAATACTGTTCCAACGATAGGATTTAATTGTGAAAAAGTTAAAGGAATGGTAGGAAAGGCCAAAGGTTAGTTCTTTATAATCCAAATTATCTAAACTAACTATAGAGAAAATAGGTTGCCTTGGTTGTCATAGATAAAATTAAAAACTACTTAACAAATGCTAGGTAACCTTGAACCCGAGAATGCCTTTCAATAGACCACAATGTAAGAGAGGAAATACACTTTCAATGTTACAATAAAGTAATATTTGAAAATGGTAGTAGTAGGTCAGAACAGAATAAGATTCAACATCTGTCAGATTAGTATTATCTCTATAATTGCATTCAGCAATCTCGTATTCATTTTTACATCACTAGAAACAGGATCCGTGTTCAAAAATTTCAAAAGCTATTGGATGAGAAACAAAATCGTTTTTTCTTGGGTATGCTGAATAATCAATCCTTTGAAGAAAAACGGCAGTTAATTTATTATCTGGAGATTTGTAGAGAACCAAAAACTCATCATCAGATTTGAATTTTGCAGTTGCTTCAAAAACTGTTGGAACTTTAGATCTGATTACTGCTTCAGAACCCACAGTTCAGAAATTGCTGGTGACATCAGATCTGATTCTCAACCATATCAAGTTGAAAGTAACCTTAGTAAATATTACTAGAATTTTATCCCAACCCTAAACTGTTATTTTAACACCTCAATACGTGTTTTGATCACCAAGTGATCATCTTCAAGAGGTGTTAAAATAACGGTTTGGTGTTGGGAAAAAACTCCAGTAATATTCATTACTACACCAGAGGTTCCAAAAAGTACAAGTAACCTTAGTAAATTTGAAAGTATTGCACTTAAATCTCCAAGATTTGACAGCAATATCATAAACCTTCCTGCAGATAAGGGTAATACATACGAAGTACACCACACAGTATTGTTCTCATGTATGGAGCTCTGCCCCTAAGCATACCCTGAAGCTGCTGTATTGCATCCAGAATTGGATGGACGCGAACATCACTTGCAACCTTGATAGTCTGGAACATTTAAGAAGGGTTGGATATTTGTCTCTCTTCTATGGACACTTTCGTGGGAAGTGTTCAAGTGACTAGGCATATTTGATTCCACCAAGAGCTGTACATATCAGAAATACGCGACGGACTGTGGCTGCTCATTGTTTTGAGGTTCAACTCAGTACATCTCGAACTTCACTGTTCAAGAACTCTTTCATTTGAAGAATTGTGTGTATGTGGAATGAACTTCCTGAGAACCTTTTTCCAAATGGGTTTAATCTCAAACGATTCAAATCCAATGTGAATCACTTGAGGATTTTCCTATAGTGCTTGTTTTTCGTCCTTAAAAAAATACAGATTCCTTTGTTTACAAAAAACTGAAAAAAAAAATCGACAAAATCGATGGAACAAAAAATATATAGATCTCTGGCCAAACACAAAAACTCACAAAAACAGAATGTACTTAAATAATATCCCACTATAGTGAACCTTGACATTTTTATGGTTTATCAAAAATACGCAAACGAAATTATTCTCTGGGCCAATTATCAGTTCATTCGGATCACTGTTTCAAAAACTTTTGAAATATCTTCTCCAAATTTAGAAACATCCATCTGGAATTAGAAACATTCACATTCTGGTGAGTTTGTTCTGGTAATCAGAGAATTTGGGCAGTGAAACTATCATTTAACGAATTGAATAAGGAGCTTTAATAAATAAATTGATGGATGTAGCCGTTACTACGTGGTAGGAGATCATAATGAAAAGAGAAATGAAAATTTCTATGTTTTTTACCACTTTTAATTGTAACTAACGTTACTGCAGGAGTTTATTGTAGTTTGAGAATGTCCATATAGGACGAAACTGAAGTAACATTAGTTACAATTAAAGGTTGTAAAAAACATAGAAATTTTCATTTCTCTTTTCATTAGCTTTAATAAATGTAATAACTTTACAAAACCGAAACGTGACAGTATTGTAAAGACAACTTTTTTGACTATCTACATCAAACTTGACAGCTCAGTCAAACTCGCAATACTCAATATATATAAGGTATTTCTTTAGTAGACATGTCAAGACATCAAAGAGAATCAAATTTCTTCTCATCTAACATGTTCACCAATATTCCGTTGATAAAACCCTAAGAAAAATTTAACGAAATTGAATTCCATCTCGCCAACATGGCTGCCAGAGAGAAGTCTTAATAATAATAATATCATTTATTGCCCAACAGGTAACACCCAATTACAGGACATAATCAAATACATCAGTATTGATACTAGATAAAATAAATTAAAAAATCATGTTCATTCTTGACATGCTATATGAATATAACATAACAATGATATATAACATCGAATAGAAAACAAAAGAAAGAAAACTAAAAGAAAAGAAAAAACTGATAGTATAAATATTCGTTGCGCTACTTGGTAAGAGTGTTTATAATAACTGACTCTCTCACAACACAAAAAAGAAAAATCTTTTTCAATTGAGTACTCATGACAGAAATAGTAGTGACTACAAAAAATAATTGAGCAGTATTCAAGCTTGGATCTGACATATGAGAAATATAATATCTTCAAGGCGTTTATGTTTGTGAAGTTTTGACAATTTCGTGTGATAAATCCTAACATTTTATTGGCTTCGGAAACTTTTTTGTTTGTGTGACTGGCAAATGCCATTTTAGAGTCAAAAAATACACCTAAATCCTTAGTCTCCACACAACGGGTTAGCACACTACCTTGAATATTGTATGGATGTTCAATATGTCTATGTTTTCTAGTATATGACATGACTTTTTATTCACCTATTTTCAGATGTAGGTTATTAATTTCACACCAAGCCTGCACGTTATCTATATCTTCCTGAAGTATTATGCAATCATTCATATTTTGGATAGAGTTCAGTATTTTCAGATCATCAGCAAAAAAAAGTTTCATTGAATTTATTTGTGTGCCTAAATCATTGATAAATATCAAAAACAACAGCGGTCCCAAATTCGATCCTTGGGGTACGCCAGACTTAGCAATTATTGTGTTTGATTTGTATCCGTTGTAATAAACTATTTGGTTACGGTTAAAAAGGTACGATTCAAAAAAGCCTAGTAGCTTATTACTGAGGCCAATAAGGTCCAGTTTCGAATGTAAGATGCTATGATCAATTTTATCAAAGGCCTTTGAGAAATCTGTGTATATACCGTCCACCTGTCCTTGATTATCCAATGTTGAGCACACGTAGTGGGAAAACAATGCTAGATTTGAAGATCACTCTGTGAAATCCTATAAATGTTGTGCAAAACAAAAAGTTGAAGTTGCAGACTGCATTAATTGTGGAAATGTTGTTCACAGAAGTTGTTTGGAACGTGTGAAAACGTATATAACAATAGATGAAACACATATTATTTGTTGTGAAAATAGTGATAAGGTACTTTAAGCTTAAAGTGAGTCTCTAGACCCAAATATTCCAAAGGACCACACACAAACCTTATGAAAAATGTCTGATTTTTTGATATGACGAGCTTTTCAATGTCCTGATCAAAAGCCTCCACAGGCGCAACGAAAAATAATGGACAGTTTTTGGGAAAAAAAATGCTCAAAGTAGTAAAACTGGAGAAATAGGCCGTGTTATTCTGCAACTGCATGCACCGTTTTCCAAGAATTGCAAACCATACAGGGTGACGTATAAAGCCATAATCCGAGGAAGGAAAAAATAATTTTTAGAAGTAGTTCGTATGGGGGCGACAGCCCCCATACGACTACTCTCAGACGTTGAGAAACTTGTGCGAGCTAAGGACTAACGAGGTCTTACCTTTTAATGTGTGATTCCTAACACGTTAAATAGATTATGAGAAAGTTAGTCTATGGATATGGTTATATAGATGAATCAATTGATATATAGGGAATGATACAGGGGACAATAATGGAAGTCAATTTTATTACAGAATATGTACGAAAAAACGTGTCACAAGATTTATTGAAAAATAACACTTTGTGGAGTTTTAATAAAACAAATAATATACCTACATTGAAATAATAATTAATCAACAAAACACCATTAAAAAGTTTGTTGCACGAACTAAAGGGCATTCAGCCATTGATTATGAGGTTCTATCTCATTTCGATTTCCCACATCGATAATGTAGTCAAACAAGTTTGTTAACGGATACTTGACATTTGGTTCATGTCCTGCATATGCCATTGGCAATACCACTGAAAGAGTCAACCTTCAATTTTGAAATGGGCACACTTGCAGACCGGTTTCGGGCTCATCATCACAGACTGCACTGACGCCTGTCGGATATAATCCAACGCCGTTCGTGGTATAACCAGGGAAGTAGTTGCTTTCTGATAGGCGTCAGCCCATTTAACCTACCGTGTAGGTATATTCGAGACTGGCTTGAACGTTCAAAATTCATTTCTTTAGATTTGTTTACTGCCAGTAAACAGGCAGCATAGCCCACTGACTTATAAAATCTGTTTTTTATAAGTCAGTGGGCTGTTTTTCCGTTAACCAGCTGTCGCACCCCTACGAACGACAATCCTTAGAAGTCGAAACTTGTGCGAGCTAAGGATTAACGAGGTCTTACCTTTTTCTTTTCCTACTATAATTTCTATGTAATCATAAGTCCTAGAAGTATCCATTTAAAGCTAGCCTCGCATGTCAGCTCCTTGTCACGCCTTTTAATCACATCCCTGGACCTGAAATTTCCGACGACAAACATAATTGCGAAATAATTAATTCTATCAGTTCAACCTTATGTTACTACCATGGGTCAGTGGTCACAGGTGCACGGTGTATGCACATGGTTACACAATTCTTTTTCATCTTTGATATAGCAATTTAAATAAAGAAAGGAAACGATGAATTATTAAAATTAATTTTATTACATATATATACATGTTTGGTATCATACAAACTATGACACTAAGTATAAAAATATTAACAGTTAAATTTACAGGATTCGTGTAGAACATTTCACATAAATCGATGCATACAGTGTGATCAACAGCATAAGTAACAAATTGAATTTTTTTATTCGTTGCACAAATAAAATAATAAAATACTTTCATTTCGGAAAGTATCATAGTTATGCAAAAAAGTTTGGAATTGATTATTCCGCACAAATCCAAAGTCATGACCTCGAATCAATTTTTTCAATATTTTGAATGGGAAATGTTCCTTAACGACAATCCTTAGAAGTCGAAACTTGTGCGAGCTAAGGATTAACGAGGTCTTACCTTTTAACGTGTGATTCCTAACACGGGTTGGACGATAGCAAGTGTAAATCGATCGTTCGGACTGGGGCTTGAACCACCGACCAACACGGCAGTCAATTCTAGTGAGTGAACAAAGCGCCCACGTCGAACCACCTGGCTTCGAAAAAAAAATTAATAAATAAAGCTTCAATAAAACCCGACGTTATTAATGTTTGGCTGCTAGTAAAAAAGGTATCTATTGAATGACTGCTAATTCAATGTGGTGTCATCAGAATGACCTACCTGTCACTGAAGAGTAGCAAATACTCTGAAACCGATGGTCACATTGACTGGGAAGAGTTTGTGGAAGAGGAGTAAGCTTCATCCTCAGGCTTTCTACACTTTCCATTGTTTTCTGTATTGAAAATATTGAGATAATTCCGTTTGCGTTTGTCACAATTATTTAAAATATTATTTTGCAGGTATCAATTTTCTTGTTTGGGATGTAGGAGGACAGGAAAAGCTCAGACCACTGTGGAAATCTTACACTCGTTGTACAGATGGTATATTGTTCGTTTTGGATAGTGTTGACACTGAACGCATGGAAGAAGCAAAAATGGAACTCACAAGAACAGTTAAATCGCCAGAAAATAGTAGTGTTCCTATTTTAGTGCTAGCAAACAAACAAGACTTACCTGGTGCTCGCGAACCATGTGAACTTGAAAAACTTTTAGGACTAACTGAATTGGGAAACGGGGGAGCAGTTGGGAGTCACTTATGGCATGTGCAACCTGCATGCGCTATTACTGGTGATGGCCTCCACGAGGGATTGGAGGTTTTATATGAAATGATACTAAAAAGACGAAAACTAGCCAAAGAGCGAAAGAAAAAATGTAGATGAAGTTCGATTACTGTCAATATGTTTTCGTAGTCAGTAATCATGGTAGAAGCTTACAGTGTTTTTGATAATATTTTCAAAGAAGGTAATAAATCCATGTTGTAGAATGGTTTCCGTAAATTCAAGTAAAACTTCACGAGAGCAAGTTAAATGGGATTATTTCCTGAGAACACTAAATAAATAAAGAATCTGTATCACTAATATAGTCTAAAGTCATATGATCATTGAAACTCCACATATTTTATTTTATGAATGTTACACTAGAATAATTATGTATGCTTTGGTCATCTGGAACAGAGTATCCTCAAATAAATATTTTGTTGAGAATGTTTTAATATTCAATTTGATTTTGTTCTTCCAATTATCTGTCACATGTACCTACAAAATAGAGTGCAAGCTTTGCCGTCCTGCTTCCCTACTAATGTTTTCTATATTTTTTTATAGTTCATCTTGTTAACAATTAGATATATACAACTATAAGTCAGTTTTAAGATTAGTACAGCTGCCGGACTGAGTCACGGCCGGTGAGAAGCCCCTCTCTCAAGATGTGCAGTAGATGTGTAGAAGTCTGTTAGATTATTTGAGCCGTTTACTTGCAAACGAAAGTTTCTATCCCTTTTTTCTAATACTTTTTTTGTCATACACTGACCCAAACTTCACGCAGATGCGATTTATCCCACAGGCCATGACTCAGTCTGATAACAAATTGAACTTCAAGGCGCATACTCAACTTTAAAAGAAGAAGACAATTGCTAGGGCTAAACACTTTCGAAAGCTTACCCTTAGAGGAAAAGGTATCAACATCTACAAGATTATTCATCGCCCAATGATTGAGTATGGACATATGATTTTCATGAATGGGAAATGTTCCTTCTGACGAAAATCAAGTAGTTTTCATAAAAGAGCTCTAAAACAACGCATTTTAAACTTATTATTTCAACCTTTCTCTTTAAAAAATTATTCGAATTCTTAAAAAAGAGAAATGAAATAATGCATTCAACATTTAAAGGGATTCGTTTCTATTTCACCATTTGGCAACATCGGTTATAGTACAGCCAATAAAGGACAATGAATTTGTTACCTGTATGAGACAAACAAAGATGACATATTTCAGAAGCGTGCTGTTCTGTTTACTTATGTTCAGAATTCCGAGAAATATGACATTTTGTGCACCTAACCTATCTTCCTCTATATAAATAAATAACAAAACAACTGTTGAATAACTTTTTTCGAGATTAATTGACCTAACACCAAACTGATATTTTTGCACTCTACACGCGTTTCGCCAACAAAGTTAGCATCCTCAGGAGAAGAAAATTGCTACCTAGTCTAGTCTGGTTGATCCTTGTATACTAAAATTTGTTACTTGAAGTCCAATATGGAATTTCTCGGTAATTAACTACCTGCAAGTTGTTGGTAATTATTCTCTTCCTAACAGAAGATTAAAAAGCGGGTTAAACGGGATGGGTCCCTTATCGCCATTGATGCTGTTCTTACATTTTGCTATTTCTAGACTCTCACATGCATCGAGTAGCCTGGTGTCATGTACATGCTTAATCAGTTTCGAATTGTTTTCACCAATTCTGTGGTCCTTGTCTAGAGCATGTTGGGCGACACTGGATTTTTCTATCCTTCTAACTCATTCATCAACTCATTTATTTCAGGTAACAATTTTTTCAGAAATAGTGTTATTATATTTTTGAGATTCGTACTCATGGTTTATTCTCTCTCATTTTTTTTAATATTCTTTTTCAACTAGTTTGGATTTTTTTTCGTTCTGATTTTTCAATATGTTTAATTTCATAAACTACACCTTAGGATTAGATCTCTACAAACTTTATTTAAAAACATCTCATTGATGATATATTTCTTTAAATGAAGTTTGTGGAGATCAAATCGTATGGTGTAGTTTATAAAATTACTATGGAACTTCATCAAGTAACGGCCGAATCAATCAGAAAAAAAAAGTTTGATATTTCATTCATTTTCTATTCATTGATTTGAAATCTGTCAACACCTTTTTAGACAATGAAATATTCCGTGGATTATCTACAAACCTCCATCTTATAAGAGATATTCTAGTCAGATAAGAAATATCTGCATCCAGCCTTTCTGAAAAAATCCGAAATAACTGCTTTGAAAATGTGAACATTTTGATGATTTTTGATAGACATTTCCAGAGGCTGGATCTTGGTTTTCCGCAAATAATCTTTTAGTATATTTTTGGCAAGATTGTCTACACATTTACATTTTACAGCTCCCGCAAATACAAAAATGATAAAAACTGCATGAACTCTATATTTTGATTATGATATACGCTGTGGAAGTGATTCAAATTCTCAAAGAAACTTTTACAAAACCAAAGACGAATACAAAAACCGACATAGGATAGTATATCAGGCGCCCCTTAGGAATGTTCATATCAAATGGATATAAGCAAGTGTATATTTCTCCCCCAATGATTCCAATCGTTTGCATACCTCTATAGAGAATACCAAATCGTTCTTCCGTAGGAAGAAAACAAGATTAGGCCCGATGGGAGTAATGTTGAGAATCAAGTTACAAGATGTGCCATTCTCCCATTAACCTCTCAGTCCGGTGGTTTCTTCCACTGTTTTCATTTCACCCCCCCAGGATACCATCTGATAGGCGTTCCTTTGAAAAACATCACAAACCCAGATGTAGAATTTCTGGTTGTGGGCTTTCTTCATATCTGCTCAGTTTGTTGACCGCAAATGTGGTATCTGGTCGACTCACTGATGACAAAGCCAGTAATCTTTCTCTGGCTTTTGTTGGTCTTGGTGAATTTACTGACTTGCAAGTTGATATATTGAACTTGTCAAGTAATTGTTCAAATTAATTAAAGTCCTGGCTTCTTTAACTAAAGTTCTCATCTCTCAACACCTGGTCTATTTTTTTTTGTCTATAATGTTGTAAATCATGCCCTAAAGAAAGATACGCCGGCCGCCGCTGGTTGCCTTAATTCAATTATTACGTGACCAAGGTCATGCCCAACTCGACATGCCCCAGCGAGGCCGTTCCAGACGTGACGTTGCTTCGAGAATAACGCTCCCGATGTTTCGCGGATATTCGATGTTCGAGCCGCTTCCATAGAATTCCGAAGAATTTTCTAGCGCCTTCGATTGCCAAATATAAGCGCCACCCACTCGCCTATCGACACAGTCAAGTGGAAGTTACAGTGCGGTACGCAGAGCGATCTAGAAAGGCGATATTTTTTGTTGTATTTAAAACTACAATAACGTTAAGTTTGATTATTGTTCAGTGTATTCATTTATTGGTTAACCCACTGGGAAAACGTAACAATAAATTCAGAACTTCTATCACTATCACAATAAGAGGAAATAATCTGAGTCGCCAACAGCTGCATTGGAGACACTCTGGAATCTACCTCCTTTACATGTGATAATGGAGGAGGCCAGGATGGGCCAATTCAGACTGGAAAACTCACCGAACTACAAAAGATCGGACCGAACAAAAATTTCGGAACATGTGGAGGAGCACATATTTAATATGTGCACGGACCACATGACACCGAAGTACACCTTCAACACAAACTTCACGACCAAAACCATAAGCCGTGAAGAGTGGACGATGATTAGTCATCCCAAAAACAGTTTGGAAAAAACACCTGGTATACAGATGGATCGAAGACCAAGCATGGAACGGGAGGTGGAATATACCGAGCGGATAGAAATCTAAACTACAGCTATCCGCTAGGACTATACACATCCGTCTTTCAGGCGGAAGTGTATGCTCTCTTGCAGTGTGCAAGGCTTATTAAATTGAGACCTCAAAGAAATGAGCTGATCAATATTTTTACAGACAGCAAGAGTGCACTAGGGGCTCTGACAAACCCGAAGGTAACATCAAAACTGGTCTGGGAATGCCATGAAGAACTGAATGAACTTGACAGGAACAAATTAACTTTGTACTGGGTGCCAGGGCATTCAGGAATCACAGGTAATGATAAAGCTGATGAATGCGCTAGACCTTCATATATAGGTCCTGAACCAGCTCTGGGGGTACCAAAATCATTGGTACGAAACCAGATTAGGACATAATTCAATAAGAAGCACACAGAGTACTGGACAAAAGTACCCGGCAATAAATACAGTAGAACCTTCATTAGAGAACCGTCTGATTAATGAACCAAAGAACTACTTCAATATAGTAGAGATCGGCTCAGAATAATTACAGGGTTACTAACCAGTCATTGTCCGCTTAGAGGACACCTGAATAAAATAGGGCTGTGCAACGAAGACCTCAGCTGCAGATTATGCAACGAAGGGATAGAAACAGCTCTACACATCTTATGCGAATGTGAGGCACTCAAATCACAGGAGGCAGGCAATATATGGATGTACAAAATTACGTCCAGAAGGATATGATGAACATCCAACATGAAACCTGTACAAACTAGTACAGGGAACGAGACTGATGGAATGGGTGTCATGAGACGATGGGAGAATAAACGCAATAAGCCCAAGAGGCTGCAGTGTTTTTTGGAGACTTGGACTAAATGGACAAGTCAGACAGCTCCCAAGGGAACAAAAAAAAAGATTCGCCAATTGATTTCACTTCCATGTGGACTCTGATGTCGACATGGATCATTTCTCCGGTTTTAGAGGTTACTGTCGTAGATTCAGGAAACTTATTTCTGGTTTGTTTTCCATGAGTACAAGATTCATACTGCAATTCTTTGATTTCACCTGCATCAATTCTGTAACTTGTCGAACATTTCCAGCATTGATTGACATTTTGATGAACCAATAGCTTCTGCAATTTTGCAAATACTTCTTTTCTTCTGATCCAGTATATACCATGTCATCTTCGAAGTTATCTACAATGAGCTCCATTTTAAGTTTGGAAAAATTTCCTCGCGTTCACACTCATAGTATAATCTTTATTTATTTTTGTCTGCAACTACTGTAAAGGCATTTTCAATTGCACATATGATGGGTCCATTGTTTTTTCTTCTAATTTTAACTAATATGCTTTCTCATACTCTTGAACAAACCTAGGAGGCTTGATGGTGCAGCCAGGAAATAATTGGAAAAGGAAATAATCTCCCCTTGAGCAGGTCCTGCAAATAGTCTACAGAGGAGGTGGACGTCAACTGAACGACCTCAAGTGCCCTTCCTGTATCTCTGTATCTGTAGAGTAGGAAGGGTGAGTGTGAGCCCACAGTACTTAGGCCACATGTGACCCATTGTAAAGCCTCCCGAGGAGTTGTCCTCCTAGGTCATCGTCCATCCTGTACTTTCCAGGAAGGTGAACTGGTCACTAGGAGGCATCTCTGCCCTTCCTGTAACTGAGGATCATGAGAGACAGCTTCTCAGCTCTATAGCTTGTGAGCTGACTGTTAACCGTTTTCTCTGAAACATTGGATCAAGAGATCCTCAGTTCTCCAACTCTTGAAAAACCTAGGAGGTTCTCACTATCCCTAAAGGAAAATGTATTATGGTCTGAAAACTCTGAGGGAATTATTATTCACTAGGAAATTCAGGCCACGGTAGCAAAACACATACCTTGTGCCTGCCCCACCGTGAACAGGATCAAATTTTCAGCTTTTGGCAGGGCCTCGCTGTTACCAGCTAACCTGAAAGATTACTTATCAAACGAAATAATTGGCTTCATTAAGAAACTTAAGAAACAAGACGAAGAGCTTTTCAGTTCTCATACTCTTGAACAAACCTAGGACGCTTGGTGATGCAGCCAGTAAGCAGTTCACCACCCACTCAATTATAGTATATTTCAAGAATCTGCTTCGCACCTAATTCTTGAACAATAAGAAGCAGAATCTGATTTGGAGAAGGAAATAATCTCCCCTTGAGCAAGTCCTGCACATAGTCTACGGAGGTGGACGTCAACTAAACGACCTCAAGTGCCCTTCCTATGTCTCTAAATCTGAAGACTAGAGAGGGTGAGTGTAGATCCACAGCACTTAGGCCACATGTGACCCATTGTACATCCTCCCAAGTTGTCCTTCTAGGTCATCGTCCATCCTGTCCTTTCCAGGAAGGTGAACAGGTCACTAGGAGACATATCTGCCCTTCCTGTAACTGAGGATCATGAGAGACAGCTTCTCAGTTCTCTAGCTTTTGAGCTGACTCTAACCGTTTTCTCTTAAACATTGGACCAAGAGATCCTCAGTTCTCCAACTCTTGAAAAACCTAGGAGGTTCTTACTATCACTAAAGGAAAACGTACCATGGTTTTAAAACTTTGAGGGAATTATTATTCACTAGGAAATTCAGGCCACGGTAGCAGAACACATACCTTGTGCCTGCCCCACCGTGAACAGGATCAAATTTCCAGCTTTTGGCAGGGTCCTGCTGTTATCAGCTAACCTGAAAGATTACTTATCAAATGAAATAATTGGCTTCATTAAGAAACTTGATTTATTTTGTCTAGTTTGAATAGATATGAGCCACAATAAAACCTCGGGGGTTGCAGTGCAGTCGAATAGACTTAGCTGCTACTAGGTAAATATTTAGAGTGATTTTTTTATGAAAATTTATAAAATAAATATGAAGACAAATTTCGTCCTACCTAATTTAAATCACATGTGTGATCATAAATTACAAAATAACCAACTTATTCAAGTTATGTTTTTCAAATTTGAGATAATTTTTCAGGTACTCGAAAGCCGTTTTCGATTGGAAATGTAAAAAGGCAATCAGTGCGGCACTTTTATTCAATGAGGCACAATTAATTTATCCGTCAGAAGCTTGACAAGCTATATGTTTTCATACGACTTTTCAAGATTTCCAAGTCAACATCCCAGAAAACACTAACTCTTAAGAAAATGAATGTTTTAAAATGAATGATATTAAAACGAGTCTTACAAATGTCGTCCAAGCTGAGAATTCATAATATATAATCGTATTCAATATTTCAAAACGAGATATTTGGAATGCTGTAGAAAATTCCCGAATGAAAAATAAATAGTGTGGCAGGCAGGTGTTTGCAAAATTCATTTTTTAATAAATTCAGGGTTACTTTTGCTGAAAATTGTGAAAATACCTTAGAATTTCAATAAATCGATGGATGTAGCCGTTGCTGGTAGGAAATCATAATGAAAAAAAGAGAATTAACTTTCCATTTTTTTACCACTCTTATTTGTAACCAAAATTACTGCAGTTTCGTCCTAAAAGGACATTTTCCAACTTATACATTAAACTTTTAATGTATAAATTTGAAAATGTCCTTTTAATGTATAAGTTTGAAACTGTCCTTACAGGACAGGAAGTTAGTTACAACTAACTGCAGTAATGTTAGTTACGTTAGAAAAGAGAATTGAAAATTTCCATGTTTGTTACTTTTATTTATAACTAACGTTACTGCAGTTTCGTCCTATAAGGACATTTTCAAACTTATACATTAAACTTTTAATGTATAAGTTTGAAAATGTCCTTTTAATGTATAAGTTTGAAACTGTCCTTATAGGATGAAAATGCAGTATCGTTACTTACAACTAACTAAAACAACTGCAGTTACGTTAGAAAAGAGAATTGAAACTCTGTATCCTGTCCTATAAGGACATTTTCCAACTTATATATTAAACTTTTAATGTATAAGTTTGAAAATGTCCTTTTAATGTATAAGTTTGAAACTGTCCTTATAGGATGAAAATGCAGTAACGTTAGTTACGTTAAAAAAGAGAATTGAAACTATGTTTGTTACCACTTTTATTTGTAACTAACGTTACTGCAGTTTCGTCCTATAAGGACATTTTCAAACTTATACAACAAGTTTCTTATTTCAAACTTATTGTATGAGTTTCTCATCTTTTAATGTATAAGTTTGAAAATGTCCTTATAGGACGAAACTGCTGTAACGTTAGTTACAAATAAAAGTGGTAAAAAACATAGAAAGTTTCAATTCTCTTTTCTTCATCACCTTAAAATTTTCTTTTCAGGTTTTATTATTCAAGAGTGGGCAGAGGTGAGAATTGTGACCTACTATAAGAACAAAATATTCAACATGTTTTGAAAAATATTTACTGGTCCTCGTCCAATTCACTATCATTTTCATGATATATTGTGTAAAAAGTTACTGACATACAAAATATTTCATTATTATTATTATTATATAGTTACATTCCACAAGAGCATATTTCTAGGACTCTGTACTATTCTACCATTGTGGCAGTTAACACTATACTAATCAACCTAAGTGACAAATAATTTGTTATGTTGAAATAAAAAATATACATCAGTAAAGGTACGAGGTGTAATAATATAAGAGTATAAAATGTTTTGATATATTATTTTAAAAAGCATGAGGCTATCTATAATAATCAATATAAAAATGATTTCAATTGAAACATAGACCTAACTACAATTGTCAGTAACTTTACCATGAGTGACTAGTAAAACAAATATCACAAAAACGAATTGTTTCCACTTAACTGTCCAGATGGTTTTTTGATGGATTCTGAATTCTTGACACAAAATTTTGAAAAGCATGAGTATATAATCAACTCTAATAAAAAAAAGGGTTTAGTTAAGCGAATAAAAAAAAGTAAATGAGATCTGAAAGGATACAGTTCAGGGAAAAAGATAAGTTGTGACAAACTTACTATTTCTTAAATCTGAGTTCACTTATGTGTAAAAATTCATTAATCGGGTACTTCCCTGTAAGGAACCTCAGACGTCACATTAAAACCTTCGAAATAATGCGTTAAAAATTCAAAAGTGGGTCGTTTTTCAGGATTAGAATCCCAACAACTCAACATAGTTTGATATATTTCATCTGGTACGTGATGAGATGTGGGCTTTGGCATTCTATATCCTTTTTCAATCAAGTCTATAACTTCCCTTCCATGAAGTCCTGGGTAGGGAACTTGCCCGTACGTGAAAAGTTCCATAAGCAGTATACCATACGACCACACATCGGATTTTATAGAGAATTTTCCATAAATAATTGCTTCAGGAGCTGTCCATTTGACTGGAAACCGTGAGCCCTGTTTTGGACAGTACTCATTATCTTCAATTACCCTGGCTAATCCAAAGTCGCAAATTTTAGCTATATTATTTTCTCCGATTAAGACATTCCTGGCGGCTAGATCTCTGTGAATGAGTTGTTTAGACTCTAAGTACTCCATTCCACTTCCTACCTGGAAAGCTATGTAAACCAGTTCTTCAAACTCCAGCTGTTTTCCTTCATCATTCCTCAAAAAATCTAATAAACTGCCTTTGCTCATGTACTCTTGAACAATGTATATAGGTTCCTCTTCACTGCATACTCCAAACAAAGCTACTAATCTTTTATGGCGAAATTTTTTCATTATAGCAGCTTCTTCAAGAAATGCCGCAGTAGACATAGTACCCTCTCTCAGGGTTTTCACAGCCACTTCAATACTGTCTTTCCATTTTCCATAATGAACCTCTCCAAAGTTTCCTCTCCCAAGACGTCTTATCAAACTAATTTCCATTCTAGGAATTTCCCATTTGTCCCTGTAAGTGGATCCTAAATCCCACATTGTAGGTTGTGGTTTCTTACATGGCTTGGCAAGGACATGACACAAACCATAAGCATTCTCTGAAATAAAAATGTTTTATTTAAATTTTGTTCTCGAAAGGTAAGTATTATACTGACAATGAAGTAAATATTTGAAAGAAATATATGGAAGAGGCGAATTTAGCAGTAAAAATTCTCTGAATGCCAGTCTTATCAATGCCCTTTCTATCAAATCAATAGAACTTAAAAAATCAAGAATGTGATGAAAAAATTCCTGCTTTACCACTGTTTCGATTCCGCAAATAATTATGTTAACATGAAAAATGAGAAATTAAATGTTCTATGTTTTCACCACTTTTATTTGTAACTAATGTTACTGCAGCTTCGTCCTATAAGGACATTTTCAAACAATGAGGAATGTTCCTCAATTTGGGTTATTACAGCAAATGCAAGTTTGAACAGAATAAAGTTGAGTTTATTTCATGAGTTTTTCAAATTCACTTCGAAAAGTATTCAAATTGATGTTTTAATGTTTAAAGTGATTTGTGTCTAATTCACATATTGGCAACAGCGCCTATATCAAGTTGAAATAATTTATACATACCTAGATATTCTACTTTAAAAAAGGAAAATTATCTTTATAAATCAACAATTAAGGCAAAATATAAATTATAGTTTTAGGTTAGGTGCACAAAATGTCATATGTCACAGAATGTCTCGGAACATAAGTAAACAGAACAGCACGCCTCAGAAATATGTCATCTTTGTTTGTCTCATACAGGTAACAGATTTATTGTCCCTTATTAGCTATAACCGATGTTGCCAAATGGTGAAATAGAAACGAATCCCTTTAAATGTTGAATGCATTATTTTATTCCTATTTAAAAAAGGTTGAAATGATAAGTTTAAATAAAATGCGTTGTTTTAGAGCTCTTTCATGAAAACTACTTGATTTTCGTCAGGAGGAACATTCCCCATTACATTAAACTGCAGTAACATTAGGTACAAATTAAAGTGGTAAAAAAACAGAAAGTTTTATTTCACATAACGTAGTAATAGCTACATCCACCAATTTATCAAACCAAAAATAAAAATAGAAACATTGAAAAATTAAAGTGAAGAGACTCTTACAAATCCTGCGGAAATAGCAGATCATTTTAATTAATTATTCACTCAGTTCAGCAATGAACATAAAGCAGGAAATGATGACGTAGCATATAGCAAAACTACTATCAAAAGATCAAAACAATTAAAACCCCCCCACCGTACAACTTTAATAAGTGGTATTCTATTCTCTCTAGGCTACTATGGGCTATAGCACCCCCTAGACTTTCACCCTAGTTACGCCAATGAACTTGACAGTTTGACAGTGCCCTTGTTGTACTTCTCGGGTCTTGTCTGCTTTGTATTACCCGTTTCTCAGAAAAAGTAGTCATTATTCTGATATGAATATTATTACCAGGCATTGTAACAAACTTGCTATCCCCAGCCACAACAATTTTCTTATTATAAATAATAGAAGTAGAATAATATAGAAGCAATAACTTGATATTCAGCTCTCTAACCGAGACTACAGAAAGCACCGCAATTGTTGTTTGATTATAGACAAACTGTCATATTTGAGAACCTTCTGATATTAGGATTGTTTTATTACTGCAACGTCAACAGTTTCTGTCTACAAATTATTATCACTATTATTATTGTTATTATATCGAAAGGACAGTGTGATAATATTTTTAAGCAAGTGATTGAAAAAGTATTAATTATACTTCTACCATTATTTCAACTATTTGACTTTGGAATGTCATTTTTAATGACGATAACATTAACAAACCTAACCCTTACCATTTTTTGTATTTATATATTTTTGTATGAAATAAGGTTGAATTGAGCATATCGATATTCATTTCAAGATTCAATGAAAAGGTAAAATCAAAATATCCATTTTTGGGAAAAAAGTTTTTGCCTTTCCACTACTCCATCTTGATACAAAAAAATGTGTGAATCTTCCAAAGAAAGGAAAGAAGCAATAAATTTTTAAAGAAACTCTGGGCATAGATGTGTAGATCATGCAAAGAAGTAACTTTCAGACACAAAATGGAAGAAAAAGCCCTTCTGAAACAGCTACTTTCATATAAAAAATCGTATTTTATGAATCAATTGTTTTGTTTTTCCTTATAATGCTATCCATATTGGTACTGAAGAGCCTAACGCAAGTGTCTTACGGCAAAACATCGATGTCTACCAGTGAGGATGACAGTGTTCCTCGTAAGTGAAATTTTTTACCTTCCATTTAGTATATTGTGTAGAAATGCTGTGAATGATATCTGATTTAGTTCCATAAAAAATGTTTGTAATGCAAACTGAGAAGAGAAAAGTGTTTTTTGTATAATTCAGTGTTCATATAAAAGTATTTGTTTTGAAAGAATTTTTCTTTCCGGTAATTCAATGTTTATGTGAAAGTAGCTGTTTCAGGAGGGTTTTTCCTTCCAGTTTGTGTCTAAAAGTTGCTTCTTTGCATGATCTACACATCTATGTATAGAGTTACTTCTTATGACATTTATTTCTTCCTTTCTTTGGAAAATTCCCACATTTTTTGTATCAAGATGGAGTAGTAAAAAGCCAAAAACTTTCTTTCCCCAAAATTAGAACCCTTTCAATTTAAACATAATATCCAACATTCTATTCTGAATTTTATAAATATACTTACTGGTATATGCAGTTACTAATTCGGCAAGCGTTTCAAAAGTCTTATTGGTTGAGATGTAATAGCCACCATTATCTAATGGTTTTATCTTGTAATGTTTGATATGAAATCCCCTATATTCTTCCCAATCCTTTACTGACAATGAGTAACCAGTGGGATTATGTTCCGAGGGACGGACTAGAAAAGTGCCCCGACTATTTTCCTCAGACATTAGTAGTTTTTCAGCTTCTTTCCTGGAGATATTTTCAAAAAACCAGCTGAAATTTAATAAGAAAATAAAATAAAAAGTGTGTTGAACCCAGTCAATGATAATTGTATTCAAACATCTTCAAATAGCGTTTAAACCATTTAGGTAGAAATCAATTAACAAATTATCTGACACAATAGAGCAATAGTATTTTATTCAACGATCAAAAAATGTGCTAGAAAGAATGAAGTTCTTCAAGAGAGCTTCGTAAATCATTCGAAGAAGTAGTGACCATTTGTCGCTTCGTAAATCATTCAAACAAGTAATTGATACAATAATGTTTTCTATGGGTCAGAAATATTCTTTCATTTTTGAAAAAGTTTCCAAATGATTAATATCATTGAATTGCATAGCAAGAAACAAACTGAAAAATCATTCAAACATAATCTCTATTACTTTTATTTTATTCAACTTCAAATAGTTTGAGAATTAGAGCCCAAACAACGCGTTTATGATTCAATACCAGACAGCGCTGGTATAGAAGAGAGGCAAATCTCGAACCTTAATTCAATATTCCAGAATATCAAGGTTGCAAGTGATGTTTACGTCTCCAATCAAGCGGATGGCTCTTTTCTGGCGAATGGAATCCAGCAGTTTCAGGGTATGTTTGGGGGCAGAGCTCCATACATGAGAACAATACTCCAAAGAAAGTCTGATCTGAGCTTTATAAAGCATCAAATTTACCGAGGTGTATACAATTTTCTGGTTCGGAACAGAGTTCCAAGCTTTTGAGAAGCAGTCTATGCAATTCCAGCGACCCCCAACTCAGTTTGATAAAGAAAACTATCAAACTCTACAACTGCTCTCATTTTGTTAAGTGATGACCTTTTGAAAAATATCAATTTCTTCACCAAATTAACAATTTTTTTGTGGGGCAAACTCGTTTTCACTTTCGGACACGTGTTCTTATTCTTATTTTTCATTAGGAACAATACTTTTCAAAAATGAACTGTAAGTTTAATTATTACATTTGACATGTGAGAACATGTTTTGAAGCTAGTAAATTCTTAAGGCTTACTTTCAACTGAAAATAGATGAAACATAACTGTGAAGTAACACAGAAAAACTTGTTTATTTGTGTCGTGGATTGTTTTCATGGGTGTGTTAAATTTAATTATCATATAGTAAGATAATATATTCACATTATATAGTGAATGGTAGAGGGCTCAGACGACGATTGTCTGATACTAGTATCACAAAACTTTCTGGAAATGCACTATTTCATTCTTCTTCAGAAATTTTGGATATCATATAACTGATTACAGTTCTACTTCCCAATTGAAGAATCGAGTTTCTAGCACAGTTGAAGTAGTCAACTTCCTCTAAATCTCTATTTTTACACCATTGTTCAGTGTCCTTTTACTACTCTGTTTAGTTTTGTTCTTTAGTATATCTTTATCAGACAAGGTCAAGTACAATTGGGTATTATCTATATTAGTAATGGATATAAATATAGTTTAAAAAACTAAAAAACACGCTTTTAAAGAACATCGAACTAAAAAGTTNAAGTCAGAATTACAAAAATTAAAACAATTGTAGTTATAAAAATTGAATATGTCATGCCAAAGCCGCATGAACCCATTCAGTCGAGATGGTCCGAGAGAAATTCGCCAATACTATAGTAGGCCTTAGAAAGAAGCAATGTTTTAACTGCTTTTTTAAATGCTACAGTGTTCATCTGTTTGAAATGGTCTGGTAACCGATTGAATAATTTTATTCCCATATATTTGGGAGAATGTTCGAATTTTATAGTTTTATGTTTAGGAATGCTCAACTCCTCTGCATATCGAGTTGGGTAGCTATGATAGAATGAGTTCTTAGTACAGTCTGTTATACATTCGCGAACATATAAAAGTATTTTAAAGATGTAGATGTAGGGAAAGGTTAAAATTTGATGACTAATGAAAAATGTCTTGCATGATTCCCTCCAAGGGATGCCTAATAATTTACTAATAACTTTTTTTTGAGCAATGAAAACCCTATATTTGTCAACACTGTTTCCCCATAGGATCACATTACAACTTAGACGGCTATGGACCAGACTGTAATATACATCTAAAATGGCGCGTAAAGGCATACAATTCTTAATTCTTGAAATTGCATAATACCCTTGATTGGTTTTGTTCACATACAACTGTGATATGGTCAGACCACTTTAAACAGTTGTCTACATGAACGCCAAGGAATTTTGTACAGCTTGTGCATGCCAGTGCCATTCCATTGATTAGTAAGGCAAGAGATTGCTTTTTCAGATCGTTTTTTAAATTAAAATAGATATATTTTGTTTTGGTCAAGTTTACAATCAGATTGTTCATTTCACACCAATTTAAGAACAGTGATATTCATTCCTCTATTTTTGATTTTAATTCCTCCTGACTCTCTGCTGGTACAGCTAATATCAAGCTATATCAGCTATATATCAAGGAGGTTACATGCAGCGCCATCTGCTCGCAAATAGATCATGCAATAATGTCGATAATTCTGTCAAATACAGATCCCGATATGAAATAAAAAGAAGAGTTACAAACAAACATACATACAGGTGAAGCTAATATAAAGCGTGTATTAAAAGGTTTTACTTCTAAGGGATCTGAACGACATCTGTCAATGCCAACTGAATGGAATGGTAAGCTAACTTTCTATCCGATTTTCATCAAACCATTTTATTTTCATTACATAAGTGGAGTTGCAATTGAAGGATTGTTTGTTGTCTTCTTTGTTTTCACGGAGTAATGTGAATTAGTATTGTGTGACAATCTGTTTTTCATTTCGGGCTCTCGTATCTGTTTATTGTATTGGTGAATTTCATTTAATTTACATATTCATTTGAGTTGTCTCAGTGTATTTAGGACAATATTTTGTGAAAATTTGAATTCAAGTAGTTGATCGGTGAGGTCGTGAAGTGACTGATTGGGGTTTTTTGTGTTTGAGGAGTGATGCTAACTTTTTATTCTGATTGGCGATCTTGTTGTGACTAACATATTGGGCTTTTTCATGAGATATTCGGAGAAAAGTATTGAAAATAACTGGACGAATTTTTGAGTTTGATAACTGCCCTTGAGGTTAAGTCTGATGTCTTGGATAGACTTTTGGATAAGGGCGAAGCTGGAATAGTCAGAGAAGAAGTGTTAGGATGCTTATTTCAAAAGTTATTTCACATTTTGAAAGATACATTATTTAGTCTAAGTTTGAACTAATATTATAAACAGATAAGACTTGAATATTTGTACTTTGAAGATGGATCAACTCAAAAACTGTACTGTACTGTATTTAATTTTTAAATGCGTAAATGACAAGAATCTATGCAAGGTATCATCATATTCATTATTTAGGGTGCACTGTCGGAGAAGGTAGATAATCTAATCAACAAACAATCGTAAACATACAGATATTTTTTACGAAGTTTATGTATGAAGATATGCCTTACTCTTCACTTTCCACGCTCAATTCTGCAGCAACATAATTTCCCGGAATATATCCTCTTTCTTTGGTAATTAGATGCACAGCATTTAACCAGTCTCCGTCTGAATCATCAAGAATTTCCATTCGGTCCCCTTTTTTGAATGATATGTCCTGGCTATCCCTTGCTTCGTAGTTATACATTGCGACCATGATGCGTCTCTTTGGTGCTGACCTATTTCTATCTTCAATCACTGGTTGNAGATTATGTAAAAAAATAAACTATATTCTTTTTTGCGTTTAAAATAAAAATGAATTACAAAAAAAAGTCTCGTTTATATTTGAATTACCTAGTAACATTGATTGCATCGATAAAATATTTGGTTCCGTAAAGATAGAGAAAATCACTTTAATGAAAATATCATTTCAAAATATCGTTTCTTTTTCTCTTCTTTCTTATACAACTCTTATATAACTCTGGCTATACAGTTTGGTGAAATGTTATTTTGGAATTGGTTAACTTGGCAACAGAATCTCTTACTATCTTTCGAACTGTATTCATTATAAATATGTAAGCAATTCTCACCATCTACTTCAGGTTTTCGAAGTGGAGGAGGTTCACTGCCGCGGCAGCAGCATTTGTTACCCATGGCGAAAATTAGTGATAGTATCACTAGAAACGGTTTCTTGTTGTCTTATTTCTTAACGTGGTCATCTGAAACAAAAGTTGCAATTAGGTAATGTGATAAAAGGTTTGAATTCTCTTAATGTGAACTTGAATGTACAACATCCATTGTCCCAAAACGAAATAAATATAAATTTTTGTCACAAAAAATGTACTGAAGAAAAGAGAATTGAAACTTTCTATGTTTTTTACCACTTTTTACTTAAAGGTTTGAACTTTAAGTATGAAACTGTCCTTATAGAACGAAACTGCAGTAATTTTAGTTACAAATAAAAGTGGTAAAAAACATAGAAAGTTCCAATTCTCTTTTCTTCATTTTGATTTCCTACCACGTAGTAACGACTTCTACAGTATGTGAAAAATAATAAAACAGTCATATGAAAACAACTGCAATCATCACCTGGAAATTTTCAATGTTACATTTTCTAGAATAGTCTATTTTGTAAAAAAAATACTCGTTTCTCGAACATGCTGTATTTCAGTATTATTTTCTCTAGGAGTATCCATGAATAAATCAACAAAGAAATTCAACAGAATATCGACGATATGTTTATATTGTCACAATTGGTTGATTTCGTTGATTGGCAATAAAAAAACATTATAAAAAATAAACCATTGAACAAAATTATTTTCTTCCATATCTAGCCAGGCCAGTAACAAAAACTACTTATTTTAAACGAGACAGAGACTTTCTACATCGTTTAAGGAATAAATTGAGTGATTTTCAACTCTAGCACTTTCCTGTGGGGTCTCTCAGAATCTAGCATTTAGCATATTGAACTGGAGAATATCTTTGGAATTGAACATAACCTGAGGCGCGTCACTGGCTTGCATTTTTAGGGTACTTTGTCCCTCTGTAACACAGACCCTTATTTGCTTGAGCACGGTGCTGATCTCTCACCGGTCATGTTTCAATCTCTGTGCAATAATAATAATAATATCTTTATTCGCCTTGAGAAACACAAGGTTTATAGACATGTCAAAACAAATGGCGCAATTAAAATCAGGCTATATACATCTTAGGATTCCACAATCAATGGTGGTCATGAATTGAAAAATAAAAAATACGAAGACATACTCATTAAAACAAATTAACATACTCTTTGACACAAATTACATTACGTGATGGAATTTGAGAATTAGACGGTAATCATAAGGTTGAAAAAATTATATCAATATCATCAAGAATATCAAGATCGTTAAGAAGTTCAGTACAAACATTTGATTTAAGTTACAATACACATACATATTAGTCAACTGTATACTACACTACAGCTACAAAATGGCGGATTACATATTAACTTGTATTACTCAATGAATCAATCAATCAAACATTTATTGAATCATAAAATCATAAAATAGTGGCTGATTCAACAGGTCAAACAAACATAAAAAAGTCAATATAAAACATACATAAAAAAAAGTTAATAAGCTACAATCAAATTAGGATTCAAGGAGAAACTCATCCACAGAGTAGTATGCTTTTTGCAATAGAAAGGATCAGTCAGGTAAGATCCAACCCAATTCAATGCAGAGCCATGTATACCATAAAACTGCAATTTGTGTAACAGTATGTCATGGTTAACGAGGTCAAAGGCTCAGCTCAAATCAAAAAATAATCCTAAAGTCTGCTGTTTTGTTCTCCAAGATTTCCAGCGCATGTTTAATGAGTTGATCAATTGCACCAATTGTAGATTTATTTCTTCTATAAGCATTCTGACTAGAAGAAAATAATCTGAATGATTCAAAGTAATCATATAAACTTTGATACAAACAGTATTCAATAATCTTAGAAAACTGACTAAGTAGCGATATAGGCCTGTAAGATGCACAGTCAGATCGAGAGCCCTTATTTTTGTATATTGGCAAAACCTTTGACATTTTCAGTATATCAGGAACTTCCCCTCAATGAAAGTGGAGTTAACTATATGAGTCAAAGGCTCAGAAATCACATTGGGAACCTTTTTAATAACATGACCAGGAATTTCATCAATACCGGACGATTTTTTCTTACAAACTTTTTTGATAACTTGTTCAATTTCCATTTTAGTTGCTGGATATAAATAAATACTTTGATGAGCAGATGACATTTTTAGTATCTGGTTTGGATATGCTACTACTGACAGTTGAGAAATAGTCACTGAAAAGGTAGCATATCGCAAATCTATCAGAAAGAATGTCACCACCTTTTCAGCACTTTATAGACAAGGTATGGCATTTCCAGTACTGAGGCACTAAATGAACTAAACAGAATGAGAAGAATTGAGTTAGAAAATTAGAATCTAAAACCTTGAAAATAAAATAATTGTTAAACGGTTTTATTGAAAAAAAAGATAATAATGATGTAGATAATTCGGAAGGTCCTAGGTAGCAGTCGTCACACCCCATCAAACATCTACAGTATTGATCAGATACGAAAATAAGAAAATCGTTGGGGATAGTATTTCCATATTTACACTACGCCCAAAGATTTTATTATTTTTTCACCTGATCAATACCGTATATTGCTGAGGAGAATGGTGTGATGACTGCTGCCTAGGACCTTACGAATTATTTTTTAGTACATTATCTACACCATTATTTTTTTTTCAAACCGTTGAACATACTTTTATTTACTTATTTTATTACCAGCGGGTGTTCATTCTTTGGTGTTTAAAGAATTTATTCGTACATTATAAAATTACAGAGCACTAATATCGACAAATACATAATTTATACTAAGGAATAACACGACACGAAAAAATGCTAAGCAAGTCTCGACTCGTGAAATATGCAACACAACATGTCGCGAAGCCCTAGGATGCATTTAAGCTTTGTGGGCCACACGACATATAACAAGTACTTCAAAAAATAAATGAAAGTGAACAAAAAACAATGATAGATTTTCGAAAGGGTTGGCTGTAAATATTGTGCCGATGATAAAATGAATTGAATTAGTTAATAACATCAGCTAGGGCTGTGGGACCGAAAAATCAGATTCTATTGTGTCGCTAAACGTGTTTTTGTTAATAACAACTGCAATTTTGGTGAATTAGCGCAGTGGCAATGCACCCAATTCACGAGCTTCCGGTCGTGAGTTCGATCCCAACCTCGATCAGATATTTTTCTCGAGAGATCTTATCTAGTTGAAGTTGGGATGATTCTGCAAAGTTACATGGCTGACGGACTGCCAATAGCCATGATGCTCCCTAGGTGGCTCGGGTAGTTAATAACATTGACTACCCAGGACACGAGGCTAATGACCAAATGTAGTCAATGCCGATGACACCCAAGAAAAAAAACATCTGCCTTTTTTGTGTGGTGTCAAATCATTGAAATACATTCTGAATTCAAAGAGCTATCGCTCACATTTCAAGGAGTTTTATGTTTGTTGAACACGAAATTCAACTTGTTAATTAAAGATTTTATGTGAACTCCTATCCGTTGGGATTAATTTTCTGTTTGCATCTATGAATGATGTTATGTATTTGCGGATACAGAACAAATACTTTTAGATCAAACTCTATTACAAAGAATTACCTGACATTACAACTTCATTCTTATTTGACAGTAAACCGACAGTTCTCCAAACCCGTATTCTAATGTTTTCTAAATACTGAAGGTTTGGTACTTTTCAGCTTACCTTACATGATTATAATATATAACAAATGATTGCTTATATTAAATAATTTTAACAATATTCGTTTATTTCGTCCTGTCCGTGGTTCTACAATCTTTCTAATTGTGTACAGGTATTTAAAAGACTTTATTTTGACATTTTTCACTCAATATATAATTGTCTTCAACTATCCAACTGACCAATCAAAATATGAAAAAAATTGTATTTATATTTTGCCATTTTCCGGTGAGAGTGTTCTAAATAACGAAGTAATTTTTAGCAAACTGGCGTGTCCCTTAGATTTTCAAGCCACAGGATACGCTAAACTAAATTTTTAGGTTCACATTTCATTTTTGGTCATTATTCATTTGATTTTTGGTCATGATGAATGAAGCACGAATAAATTTGCAGAGATAATTCTCTTCCTGGAGATACCACATAGATAAATTAAATTTAACCGCTCTTTATCTCTACGCTCGTTATATCTCTACGGAAGTATAATTCTCAACATATTTCAAAATTCCCCATATTTTACATATTTCTTCTGAAGAATATTGTAACGAATTGTAAATGTTTTTCAAATACTAATCGGTACTGTAGCAATATTCCTCATTCAGGATGAGGAACTTTGGTATCTTTATATTTAAGAATATAAGTCCGTTAGAAATCATTCAGGATTCTTTTATACAGATTCAGTATAAGTAATAAAATAATTATTAATTTCCCAAATTTTGAGATAAATATGTAGAACTGTCTTTACGGAAAACAAAATTTTTACCATCTTCAAAAGAAGGAAGGTATCAATTGTATAAATTGAAATGGTATATTTTTACGTTATGTTAAATCTTTGAAACTGTAATATTTTCACACAAAATAATTTATTAGGTCTTCCAAACAAATACACATAAATTTCATTAGTGTATGTATTTATGTACTAAATGGGCCAAGTTGGACACTTTTAAAGGGAAACTAGACAATCAGTGGTTCCATCAGTACCACACACGAAACACTTATCATTTTGTATCATTCACTTTTTCACTGTCATCTTTCATATGGGATACTCCTTTGGGGTAGATCTAGTTACGCGATCAGAGCTTTTCACATGCAGAAAAAAGCCATGAGAATTATAACTGGAGCTCCATTCGACACACACTGCCAACCACTTTTTAGAAAATTCGGAATAATACATTTGCCCTGTATGTTGATTTTCTACTCACTGTTAGAAATACATAAAAACAAAATACTACTCTCCAAACACTCATGTCATCATAATTATGAA